ACACACACACAGGTGGGGCTATGGTCACCTGCCCTCCAGCTCTCCCACAGCCCCAGGGACTCTGGAGGACCCCAGGGCAGCAGCTCAGACTCAGATCCAGGGCCCAGGCTTCACCTGGCTTCTGCCCACCACCTACTCTGCCCCCAGGAGCTGCTCACCACCTACCCTTTCACCAAGATCTCCAGCTGGAGCAGCGGCAGCACCTACTTCCACATGGTCCTGGGGAGCCTGGGCCGGGGTAACCGCTTGCTGTGTGAGACCTCCCTGGTGAGCCTCAGGCCTGAGGGCCTCCTAGAACCCCTGGTCCCTTCCCCCAGCTCAAACACACAGGACCCAGAGGCACTGGGGACAGGGTTCTCCTTCTGACCACCCCCTACGATGCCACCAAGCTATTTACTATGGTGGCACAACCACCTGTGGGCCAGGCCAGGCTGGGAGGTCTGGAGGGAGATGAGGGATAGGGGTCACCTAGGAGCATGGTGGCAAAGCCTGGCAGTGGGTCCCATGGCCCTGGACTAGTCTTCCTGCAGCAGGAGCCCTGTTTCCATTCTTTCCTCCCTACCCCATTACCCCTGAGACAAAAGCTGAGCACTCCCAGGCCCTGGCCACTATCCTCAACTGGACCCCACAGCCTCTGACCCCACCCTTTCTTTGTCCAGGGCTACAAGATGGATGACCTGCTGACCTCGTATGTGCAGCAGCTCCTGAGCACCGTGAGCAAGCAGCGGGGCATGCGGGCCCCAGTCCCAGCTCATCCTTAGCAGGGGGATCACTTGCCCATGCAGTCACCCTTCCCAATCTGGGGCCCTTGGGCCCAGGGCCTGTGCAGGCAGCCTTTCATGCTGCTCTTTCCCCAAAACACACACACTCCATATTCCTTGGCTCTCCAGGCAGGACCCCTCTCCCAGGTGCTGACCATGGGGCTTAAGGAAAGAGGCCAGGGCAGGGCCATGGGTGTCAGGCCCCTGGGTTGGTGGGTGGATGGCTGAGACAACCCCCCAAGAATGTACAATAAAGTTTCCTGGAGCAGTGGGGAGTGTGTCAGTGAGAGGGAGAGGGGAGGGCTCAGGTGGCAGGAGGTCTGGGAGGCACTGGCCAGCAAAGTTTCTCTTCCAGAAAAAGCAGAAAGCATTGTGATTTCTCCAGGGACACCCAAGTGGCAACTCCATTCTCAGAGAGTGACTGACTTGGTTTCCCCTCCTACCCCTCTCTCCCTCCCATTTCTTGGATTAGGGAGAAGCCCCTCTCTCTGCACACCTCCTCCTTCCCCTGCAGGACAATGAATGGGACACAATTGCTGCCAAAAACGCCAGACAGAGGTAGAGGCTGCAGGCTTCATGCTGAGACTTGCCTCTGCCCAGGCAGGAGGCAGAGCTGGGTGCAGGGCCTTAAAGGCCTGCCTCACCTCGCACTGGCAGCCCACTCCCTCTACCATGCCATCCTTCATGGACGGAGGGTTCTGGCTGCCTTGTCTTCAGCCCTGGTGGGAGCCTGGCCCTGGGAACAGGCTGTCTGTCATCTGCTGCTGTAAGTGTTCACAGCCTGCGGCACTGTGTCCAAGGGGCCACTGCCCACCTCCTCACCCTGCGACCATACACCATGCAGGCCAGCCAAATAGTTGTGTAAATAAGCCTTTATTCATTGTGCAAGTGTGAATCACATCAGGTCCTGTGCTGGCCACGGAGGAAGTACCCTCCCTGGAGAGTAGGAACCGCCATTCCCCTGGCCCCACCACCATCTGGCCCTGGCTGCACCCAAAAGCTTAATGTGTGCCTTGGAGGCAGGGGTGCAGCTAGAGAGACTGCAGTGACCAGAGAGGAGCATTGGGGAACCACAGTGGCCCAGGCCTGGGATGGTGTGGCCAAGGCCAGATTTCAGGAAGGAAGCCTCCTGAGGGTGGGGGAAGGGGGGCCCTAGTCCCTCCTGCTGATTGGTGGGGTTGGGGCACAGGGATCCTACTTGGTTGAGTGAGTGCGTGGCTGAGGGAGGGAAGGGTGGTTCCCCAGAGGCCCCCTTTCGTGTGGCCCTGGTCCTGGGGCTGAGGCAGCTGGCTGCCTGCTGTGTGGGGCCACATGTGTGCACAGAGGGGCCACTCTGAGCAAAGGTTGGCCAAGCCCCCACAGAAGAATGTGAGCTGTCAGGCCCCCTCTGGGGACAGAACAGGTCTGCCAGGCAGGGCTGGGAGCAGTGCCCACTCCAGAGCCAGGTGACTCCAGGCCCCAGTTTCCTCCTGTCCCTTGAAGACTTCAGGCTAAAGCTGGTGAGCACAGGCCTGTCACAGGCTCACCAGGCTCCAGGGCCCCACTTCTGCCCCATGCTGCAGAAGAGGGAGAGGAACCCATAGCAAGGGAAAGAAGAGCCCTGGGGAGAAGGCAAGAGAAGGGAGCAGAGGAAAAAGGAGGGAGTGCTGACCCGAGAGAAGGGGGCAGATGAAGGGAGGTGAGGTGAGCAGGGAGGTGGCAGCAGCCGGGCAGCAGGAAGGAGCGAAGGGAGGACAGGAGGGGGCCTCTCAGGTGGCAGTGAGGCCCACAGACTTGGGGTGGGCCTTGCGGGTGGCCAGCTCCGTCAGCTTCTTCAGCCGCTTCTTCAGCTCCAGTGGGAAGTTCTCGTAGCATCTCTTACACACGGGCTTCATGTCGAACTCCACAAACTTGTTCCTGGGAAGGAAGTGCAGCAGTCGGGAGAGCCCCATGCCCAGCAACTCGGAGCCTGGTTTCCCCTGACCCCCCAGAGCAGCACCTGCTCTCCACCCCC